AAATTAATTCATAAATGGTCAATAATTCGTAATAATAATGTAAAGAAATAATAAATATGAATAATAATGGAAGTAATACTACCTATAAAAATTTAGACTATGTTTTTAGTGTACATCACAAGCAAGGTGACATATTATTTGAATCAACTACTTTTGTCAGAAAATATAGATTTTTTACAATAATACTTTTTGAAATATATTAATTTTCATAAAATTTTAAACCTATGATTCTTTGTTAGAGATAGGATGAATCACAATTTTCATTTCACGTGCATTATAGATAGGGTGTTCATAAAGATTGGGAAACGACGTTAAATTTTATTTCTGGGTAGGTTGAATTTTTGGAAAATCAAAATATTAGATCAATTCATGTGTTAACATTTTTTGGAGGACCTGAAAATAAAGTAACTACCTAATCCATTATCGTACTTTTAAGATTATTATGAAGACTAAGAATATTCGATATTTGTGGATAAGTATAATTTTTTTAATTAATTACAAAAAAATAACCTGGCCACCGAATCCGATCCAACTCAAAAATATAAGGTTGGATTGTAAATTTTATTCGGGTTGGTCTAAAAGATTTTCTCTAACCTAACCTATATACACCCATAAAATAGGTTAGACATACAATGAAGGTTAAATTACAAATTCGATTATAGGCCTAGGATACCTAAATCGAGTTTAATCTTTATAAAAAGTACTTATGAATAGATCGTTCTTTTTTTTTAATAAAAGCTTAGAATCGGATTGATTTGTTTTACCTGCATGCCTTTTCCATATCTTTTAAAAGAGTACCTCGAGAACGTTCAAGAACATTTTTCTATTTTTAAAAAAATCTTGCTTTTAAGTAATGGCTCGAACTGATACATATACCGAAAGTCAAGTTAGATCAATGATAAAACAACAATTATTCGACAACAGTTAGCAATTAAATTAGATACGAAAAGAACAGTATTTAAGAAAGTGACATTCCATTAATCTCTCAATCCCCAAACAGATGGCTTCCTCCTTTGCTATGCGTTCTTCGTTCTTGTTCATCCTTTGCATGGCTTTTGTTCTCATCGCTGGGCTAGGGACGAGGCCAGGAAGTGCCATAAATTTGGCAGTGGCGTGTCTGCGGCCATGCTCAAAGATCCCAAACTGCGAGAGTGCTTGCATTAATGCAGGGCATGCAAAGGGTGGTGAATGTGTAGGGTTCTTCAAAGATCCTCCTTGTTGCTGTAATACTACCTAATTCTTATGCTATAAACTTGGTGTTTTTGATTGAATAATATTGAAAACAAATTGTATTTTGTTACTTATTTGAAATAAAGGTTGCGGGATCAAGAACAATATGGAAATCGTTCCCTTTTTGTTGTTTCGTTCATCGATTTGATTAAATATTGTTAGACGAACACGACTCTCCACAATGACATCATACCAATGTAGATAGTGTTATTCACTTATAAATTCATGATCATTCTCTAAATTAGCCGGTATGATACTTTCATCATCCAACACCTCCCCTCAAAAAAAGTAAGCTTGAATCCTTGATACCATGTTAGACGAACACGATTCTTCACAATGGTATGATATTGTCCACTTTAAGCATAAGCTCTCGAGGCTTTGCTTTGGGCTTCCACAAAAAGCCTCATACGAATGGAGATAGTATTCTCACTTATAAACTCATGATCATTCCCTAAATTAGCTGATGTGGGAGTTTCATCATCCAACAAATATGACGAAAATTGTTCGTCTAGTAAAATTTATTATCGATTGCTCTCCCAAATGAATCGTTCTTCATCTCAGCTTTGTTCTTCCCATTTTCTCTCTTTTTTTCCCTCGTTCTTCTTCGATGATGTTGTTAAGAATGAGAAACATAAGTGGGATTGGAAATCTCATATTCATTAATGTTCACCATGTTTAATTAGAAAAAATAAGAGAAAATATTCTAATGACCATATCCGGATAAAATATATCACTATATAAAATATATTCCAATAAATACCTTCTTACTAAGAATAATAAGACCGTAATGGGATCTTATGCTTATGACTTAAATGTTTCGATAAAGTTGTACGGTTATCCTTTTCAATAAAATTTACGGAGAATAAAAAGACTTTTAATAGTCTTTGGAGATAGTTTTTACTTTTTGACATGATGAAAGTAACACGATCATGTTAAAGCTATATATGCTGACCTCCCTAGCATTTATTGGTGGTTTATAGTTCTTATTTATCTTCAACGATGTTCATCATGTTCATTTTTGCTTACGTTCGTGGTTGGATTTATTCAAATAATCTTATGTACTTTCATTCATTATTATACATTGTCGTCATCTTATTGTTATATGTATCATTTTTTTATCGATGAATATTCACTTTTCTACTAAAATTCATGTCTACAAATCACACACCTACAAGTGTAAGATCCGACATCGGTTGGAGAGGAGAACGAATCATTCTCACTAAATGTGTGAAAACCTCTTCCTAACAAACACATTTTAAAATATTAAGAAAAGTTCGGAAAAGAAAAACACAAAGAGGATAATATCTAATAGAGAGGTGCACTCAAAATTTTGAGTTGGTTAGGTTGGTGATCTGAGTAACTGTTCATAACGCAACCAGATTCAACTGTTACAAAAGTAAATATTCTTAATTCTTTAAAAATAGAATTGGGTTCGATTATAACCCTATTTTTGGGTTGATCGAATTGACCTCTGACCCAAATAGAAAGAAATCTTAACCCAATCCAACGTGGTTAAGGCTTTGAATGTGGACATTTTGGTTCATTCTCACTTTGCATGCATCATCCATTTTTAAATAATAATATAATCAATCTCATAGGTAATATTGCACCCGTGAATTTATAGCCTAACCATATGCTTTTAATTTTATGTTCATAAGACTTTTAATAATTATTAACCATATTCTAAATTAATAATTTTGAATATATTTGATGTAATATTTATAATATTTATGCTACACACGTAACCAAATAAAAATAAAAACAAACTGAGGGATGGCCCACATGCACGTGACTAGGCGCACAAATGTGAAAAAACAAGCAAAACCAAACCCAGGGGTTAAGGGTACTTGAGATCCACGCAAGCAAGTTGACCATGACCCGCAGTGGTTACTGTATGACCAAGAAATCGACACGTGGCGAATTCTCATGTGTGGGTGACGCAAAGGCGGATGAGATAATCGTGGACGTCACAGAGCTAGTGAAACCGAAGAACTAAATGTGATTGGTGGAAACCTTGCATGTGATGAGACACGTGGCGCCATATTAAGAGCGGCGACGCTGAAGCCACGAATCATGAGAGACGACGTGTCGTTTTCATCCCATTTCAGAATTTCTCTCTCTAGAAAATAAATTTTAAAAAAATAAAATGTAGAGAGAGAAAGAGTGTGTACCAGCTGTACGGCCTCGTAGTAATGATGCCTGTATCGTATGGAGAAATTTCATAACCTTTTATCCAAATTAATTATTTTTTTATTTTCAAATTTTATAGGTTGGTATGGATTAACTCGAGAATTCGAATTTAGTTTACATTTAAATTTTGAAAAATCGAAAATTTAAATAAGTTCACAATTGACATTTATTGGTCGAGTCAACTAGACCAACTCGACCATAATTTTAAGATGATTAGGAGAATTAAATATATTTAACATTTGTAATCGATATCAATGACGCATTGTGACTTAAACCAACCCAAACAATTTGAAATTTCGAGTTGTTCTAAAAGATTTCTCCAACCCGTGTACCTTCTGTTGGTAAACTTTTAAAATTCTTCGATTTTGATCATAATTTATGAATATAAAAAGTTTATGGATAAAATTTAAAGTGAATATTTGTAATTGGATAAGTACTTGCAACTTGTAGGGGAAAAAAGTAAGTTATAAAATTTATAATATTTTCTTCTATTTTAAACAAATTTGTCCTTTTGTCTTTTTTGTTTTGTTAGCTTGTACATAACGTTAAATGATGGCTCGTGGATAGACTCTAAATTCGATTTGCTTAATGGATGAAATATTGTAGATGAAATTTGTTCACGTGAAACTGAATCTATAAATATTAGACTAAAACGAGCTTAAAAGCACTAAATTCAGCTTGAAATTGTAAATGAACTTATTGTTGAAATCGCCATAATTCTATGTTATGATGTATTAGTGTTATTCGTAATGAATATCATGTAGTTAAAACGTGGAACCTCATGCACATTGTATGTCACAAACATGAATCACTTCTCTAGTATATTAGGTTTAAATGTGTACGCCACGACATATACACCTTCCTTTCTTTTTCGTTGGTTTTCAATGGCATGAACATGAGCTAGCTCATAGTTAGACCTACAACAAAAGGTAAAACTCAAGAAACAGTGATGAAAAGTAAGTCCCACCCTGAATCATGTTGCATGTGATTGTTTTCTCCGTCCCCAATAAAATCAATTATCGAATATTTTTTAAACATCGATGACAACGACGACTAAAAGAAGAATCAACCAATTAGCTACGAAAACAAGTTTGAATTTTTGAGATTTGAAAACTTATTTGTTATTAGAGTTCTCAAAACCAATAAAAAAGAAAAAAAAGGGTTCCATTGGTGATGAACACAAACAGCCAAACCATTGGAGAGTGTCCAAATGGAAGGATGAACACAAATTATTGAAATACCAAAATCCAGAAACAGTAAAAGCAGATTGGAGGCCACATGAAGCAGCTTAAGCATCATTCAATTAACAATTAACAATGAACAATATTCCATTTTTTAATCTTAAATTGAAATTTCTTTACTGGGTTTAATAAAATAATAAAAGAACCTGAAGAGCACCGTTAATGGGCACCATTCATGTTTAAAGCCTGATAAAAAAGTCTGAACATCACCGTTAGTAGCCACCATTCAAAATCAAACGTATGGGATACTGAAAACTGCATAAAATCCGGAATCTGGTTCATAAACTACACCCACCTTCTCCAATCTTTTGTATTTTTCTTCAAAAAACACAACAAAAACTGCCCCTTTCCCTGTCTCTCTCTATCTCTCTCCTAAAAATTGATAGAACAAACCAGACGCTGCACATGGGGGGCTTGGCTTTGACATGATTTAACACCATGTGGGTATCCATGTTCTTCAATTTTTTTGGTAATTTTGTGTTAAAAGTAAGGAATCTTGAGATGGGTTTTGTTTATTTTTGCTTTTTGCTTCCTTAATTAGATACAAAATCCATTCTTTTTTGTTTTCTCTTTCCTTATCCATTCTGATCTGAAAATAAAAACCCTATCTTTAATTATATCTGAAACCAACAGAGGATTTGAAGAATAGGGTTTTTGAGGAAAAGATGAAAGAAGTTCATGATCTTGATTTGCATGCAGAAATGGATCAAACACAGATGTGGGTTCATGATCAAAATCAACAACAACATCAAAATCATCAAATTTTTCTGTCGGATAATGATGATGATGCTTTGATTTTCTACTCTGATTTCCCTCCGTTGCCGGATTTTCCTTGCATGTCGTCTTCTTCGTCGTCTACTCCCGCTCCGGTCAAGCCCACGGTGTCGTTGTCGTCCTCGTCGTCGACCTCCTCCTCCTCCTCCGCCACTTCATGGGCAGTTTTGAAATCTGATGCTGATGAAATTGCTGAGGAAATCAGAATTAATGATAACAATTCTGCCTCCGCCACCACCACCGCCGCCGCCGCCGCTTCCGCCGCCGTGTCATCCCCTTCGGCGGTGAAAACTGAGTTTAACGGCGGGGATTGTACGGATGACATGATGATGGAGACATTTGGATACATGGATTTACTTGAAGATAGCAATGAGTTTTTTGATCCGACTTGTATTTTTCAGAACGAAGAACAACAACAACAACAACGAGACCCTTTAGAGGATTTGCGATTGGAAAGCTTTGAAGAAGTGGAAATGGAGGATTTGATGATGATGCATGGCGGTAAGAGTAATGATAATGGAGGGAAGCAAAACGTCGCCGCCGCCGCCGCCGCGGCGGAGGAGGAGGATATGGCGAAGGTGTTTTTGGAGTGGCTTAGGAGTAATAGAGAGACGGTTTCTGCTGATGATTTGAGAAATGTTAGGATCAAAAAAGCTACTATTGAAAGCGCCGCCCGCCGCCTTGGCGGCGGCAAGGAGGGAATGAAACAGCTTTTGAAGCTTGTTCTTGAATGGGTTCAAACCAATCATCTTCAGAAGAGGAAATTCAAAGAGATCAATGAAAATGAAGCCAATTTGATAGGGTTTCAAAGCCCTAATTCCTCCGGCCACCCCTGGATCCAAACACCGCCGCCATTACCGCCTCCGCCTTTGTATTCTCCACCGATTCTTGGGTATGTCCAAGGTGGTGGTGGGGAAGCGTATGGCAGTGGCCGTGGTTATTCCGATCATTACCAATTACTTGACTCCTCATTGTCGTGGAGTAATAGTAATAGTAATAGTAATTTGCCGGGGGCAGTTCAACTGCCCCGGTCGCATTTCAACTCGTTTGTTGATAATTTTGTGGCTGGGCCGCCTTTGCCACCGCCGCAACAACAAGGTTTTGCAGCGGGGTACGGTAGGGGGCAGCAGTACCCTTATATGGGTCAGTACTTTCAAGCACAGGGCGGGGATAATGGTTTGGTTAGATTGGATTCATCGGCGACAAAGGAGGCTCGGAAGAAGCGAATGGCAAGACAGCGGAGATTCTCTGCCCACCACCGCCACAATCACGGTGGACACCACGGCAACCACCACCACCACCACAGCAACAGCCACCAACATCAGATGAATCCTAATGCTTCAGATCATGGCAACATGGCTACAACTTCTCAGTCAAATGCTGGAAACTGGGTCTACTGGCCGTCCTCCACCGATGTAGTTCCAGCCGACTCGCCGGTGCACGCAGTCAATTGGTCTAATTCTTCCCTGCAAAACCAGCCCTATCCTCCCCGGATCCAATCGGAGCGACGACAGGTTGGATTCCCACACCATAGTTAAATTACAAGTTTAGTTCGTCATATAGATTTGATTTTGAATAATGTTGTCTCTTATCTCTTAGGGATGGAAACCAGAGAAAAATTTAAGGTTTCTTTTACAAAAAGTATTGAAGCAAAGCGATGTGGGAAATCTGGGGAGAATTGTATTGCCAAAGGTAAAAAAAACTGAATTTCCCTTTATAACTTAGTGTCGATTGATCGATCAAATCAAGAACGGTATACCGTTTTTGAAAAATTTTGAAACCCGAACAAGAACACGAACACGAACACGAACTCATATTTTGTCGGGTTTGTTTCAGAAAGAAGCAGAAACCCATCTCCCAGAATTGGAGGCAAGAGATGGGATTTCCATTGCCATGGAAGACATTGGAACTTCTAGAGTTTGGAATATGCGTTATAGGTATTAAAATTTAATTATAAATTTTAATATTCAATAATTATTTTATTTTATTTTAATAAATTTTGTTAATTATTAGGTATTGGCCAAACAACAAAAGCAGAATGTATCTCCTTGAAAATACAGGTGTGTATTTGAATGAATGCTTAGATCATTTCTACTTTATGAATGCCATTTATTAAGGTCAGTCTTTTATGCCATTTTCAGGCGACTTTGTGAGAGCCAATGGACTTCAAGAAGGAGACTTCATTGTCATCTACTCCGACGTCAAGTGCGGGAAATATGTAAGTTGACCCTTGTTTGTATAATAATCGAGTGAGATCTTAAATCAAAAGATGTATGTATATATATTTACAGATGATTCGAGGAGTGAAAGTACGGCAACCGGGGTCGAAACCCGATAGCAAGAGGGGAGGAAAATCGCAAAGAAGCCATTCGACTGCCGGTGTGAACGCCAACGGCTTGTCATCTTCACCGCCGACCCCCGCCACCCCGAGGAGGCACTGATGAAGCTGTGTTTTGATGCGTAGAAGAAACAAATGTAGGGTTGGTTGGATTTGATCCTGTTTGCATCAGCCTTTTGTGTTGAGATTTTTTAAGACTGAGGGGGCATTGGGCACTGCATGAAGAACAGTTATACGTATATATATATATATATATATGATGAGGGTTAACTGGGATATATATACTTTGGTGGGTTCCACTATAGGGTATGTTTGTAATTAAGGGCCTGCTTTTAACTTTCAATTTGTACCATATACAATATTGTTGGTTGTTAATTATTATGTGGCCTTGTAATATCTACTCTATGTGGCTTACTATGAACATATAATAAAAAATAATGCTTATTATAACTCTTTTTTATGATTGTTTATATCAATGCTTTCTATATCGTGTAATTTGTTGTGTTCGTTCGTATGATATTCAACCATCGGAGATGCTCATGTAAGAGATTAAAGACTATTGATATCATAAAATTCTAGGGGCACTCTATTAATCGATATACGTTACATGTCCATGTTATGCGTACACCTAACACGGATATATAAGGTTATATGTACACCTATCTATCTGACTAGAACATACAAGGTTGTATGTACACCTATCTTATCTGACCAAGACATACAAGGCTGGTGTTCTTTTTTAACATGTTATGGTGTTAGTCAACATAACTTGCGCATCCATGTTATTTTATTCTCGAGAGATTTCAACTAATTTAAAGAAATATAACAGTTCAAGCTCATCGTTAACGGATATTGTCTGGTGTAATCTCACAGTTTTAGAAGAAGTTTCTACACCCTTATAAGGAATGTTTCGTTACCTTTCCAATGGAGATAGGATCTCACAATCCACCCCCTTGAGGTCAACATTCTCATTAGCACACTACTAACAGATATTGTTCTCTTGTTGGGTTTCGTCTCAAAGTTTTAAGACGAATTCATTAGGTACAAGTTTTTGCAGTCCAAGCAATGTTTTATTCCCGTCTCTGACCATAATAGTTCCTCTCTCCGACTATATTGGTTGAGCTAAATTGGAACGTAAAGGAAAAAAAATAGAATCAATAAACTTTACCTTATTTTTTTTTTCTATATATTGCAATTTGCACATAATTGCATTGAAGAAAAGAATGACTTACCAAAATCAGTATTAATGAATGATTAACATTGTAGCTGAGGTTACCTAATGGCCAACATGATAATTAATTAAGCCACAAAACTCAATTAGTGGGACAAACTATTTTTTGTGATGAAATTTGTTGATGGATATTATTTTCTATTATTCTAACAAATATGTATTAAGCTAACCATTTTAGAGGCTAAGTATATATTAATTATTTTACATTACAAAATGTAAAGCTTCAATATTACTTAATTATGTTGGTAAGTTTATATGAATTTAGATTTCATCAAAAATAAATAAATAAATAAATCGTACTCAACTACTTTTATTATATATTATGAATCTTCGTCAATTTCTAACCAATGATTTGCATCTCCAACTATCTTTCATGTGTTAGCAAGGACGCTGACTCTTAAGGGATGAATTGTGAGCACAGTGATTGAAAAGAAGAACGAAACACTTCTTATAAGCGTGTGGAAGCCTCTCCCTATGAGATACATTTTAAAATCGAGAGGCTAACCACAATACGAAACAGACCAAAATGAACAATAAGTACTAGTGTGGGCTTGAGCCATTATAAATGGTATCAAAGCTAGACACCGAACTGATCCTCTAAAACAAAAAAACTACAAAATTTAGATTTTTGTAAAGATTTTATTTTTATTAACACACTCGATTTTAAAATAATTTTTTTATTTTTATTTTTATAAAGTTTAAAAATACTATTTGTGAGATCTCATATATGTGTGAGAGGGGAGAGAAACATTTTTTTAGAAGGGGTAGAAATCTCTGACTCTGAGACAGTTTTAAAAACCTGAGGATAAGCCGACAAGAGGACAATATCTACGAGTAGTGAGCTTGGACCGTTACACCTAGTATTAACGATAAAAATATTTTTGAATTTCTTAAAATTTTAAACGATTAACCCTTTGATTTGATGTTGGATGGTGGTGAGCAATGGAAGAGCCTTTGTTGTATGCTCTGAAATGGACTCTAGATTGCTCCAATTTGGTCTAGAAGAGAACTAATTCCTTCAAATTCATCACTAAAAATCTATTTAAACCCATTATGTTATGAATTATGAGCAACCCACTCATCCTTTGAAAAACAACATTTCCCATTCAAAATTTTCTTTATATAGCCTCAAAATTTGATCAAGAACTCATCGCTTGGTGAGAAATACTCAAATTAGATACTTAATTTTGTAAGATTAAACTATTTCATGTGTCTAATTACTTGTTCTTGTTCTTGATTTGCAGTTGAAAAGAGAGAAAATTGGAGAAAAAATGGTGAGGATCACTCCTAAGGTTGCAATGGTGATGAGCATCATGTTGGTGTTGCTACTCACAAGCTCTTGCTTCCTTATTCATGCCAACCGACCCTTGCTTCAAGTGAAGAATCAACACCAATTTGAGATTGAGGATGATAATAAAGTTGATGTGAATAATAAACATCACGAGTGTCCTCGGAGTAGTTATCCGTGCTGGAAGATAGATGCAGCCGCTGGAAATAAACATTAAATCTCGTTTTATCTGTCCACGAGTTTTAAAAATAATGAAATTAAAACTAAAATGTTTATCGAACGACCCTAAATTACTTGTAATGCCAAGTTAAAGACTCGTTTCTTGAGTCATGGAGACATGATGAAATGAGTATGTATATAAATAAGTTATGGTGTGGGTGTGTATACAAAATAGGAGACATGATGAAATGAGTATGTATATAAATAAATTATGGTGTGGGCGTGGGAACAAAATATTAGGTATAGTTTCGTATTCCTGGTATTGAAAGCTGCTTTGGTATGTATTTTCTTGTAATTTTATCTGTAAAATCAGATATTAAGTTTGTGTAATTTTTTAAGTTATAGTATATTAGGAGAACTTGTCTCGAAAAGCTTAACGGATCTTTTCCAAGAGTTCAGAGTTCGATTTTTTTAAAGTTTTAAACGATTATGATGTAATTTGGTCGAGAAGAAAACTAATTCCTCCAAATTCATCACTAAAAATCTATTTAAACCCATGAATTATGAGTAACCCACTCATCCTTTGAAAAACAACAACAATTCCCATTCAAAATTTTCTTTATATACCTTCAAAATTTGCTCAACAACTCATAGCTTGGTGAGAAATACTCAAATTAGATACTTAATTTTGTAAGATTGAACTATTTTATGTGTCTAATTTATTGTTCTTGTTCTTGGTTGTTCTTGATCTGCAGTTGAAAAGAAGAAAAAATGGTAAGGATCACTCCTAAGGTTGCAATGGTGAGCATCATGTTGGTGTTGCTACTCACAAGCTCTTGCTTCCTTATTCATGCCAACCGACATTTGCTTCAAGGGAAGAATCTAACACCAACTTCAGATCGAGGATGATAATAGAGCTCATATGAATAATAAACATCACACGTGTCCTTGGGATAGTTATTCGTGCGGGAAGATAGATGCAGACGCTGGAAATAATCATTAAGTCTCATTTCATGACCCTTTCGTTTTGGTTTTTTGTTCTAAAAAATTTAGCTAACCACTCGAAACACTAGCTTTCAAGCCTTTTTTTCTCACGTGTCAACTAACCCTATTGAAATTTATGGTGCGAACTTCCACTTGGCACACCTAAAAATTATTCAATCATGGACATAACTTCCACCATACACACCATGCGTAACTGTCCAGCCAATGGTCATGTGCAAACTCGTGAGACTGCTAACTATGATAAAACGAACATATCATGAACATCAACTCAAGGACATGTCAGCATTTGATCTAGAACCCTTTGACATATCTGCTCGGTTAGAACAATTTTTCTTCTTAGAACCTCCAATGAAATTATCTTTGAACTCCACCTGACCATTATTACCACTTTAACTCTTTAAAAGCACCCTTACTTGATCTTCCTTTTAAAGCCTATGTAACTTAGATTGTATTAACACGTTCTTGATTTGCACTTGTCAAAATAAAATTCGATCATTTTATCAAGCACGTTAATGTATACGAGACTCAAAAACGTTTCAAGACAAGGATTACAACACTCAAACATTCATATTATATTGTTCATAGCTTTCAAGACAAGGATTACAACCACACCATAACTTATTTATACACAAGCACACATATCATCATACAAGTAGTCAATTAATTTAGTCCTTGTTTCCAACACTTATAATCTTGCCTAGTGCACTCACGATGAGGACTTTGTTCATCTGGGAATCTTCTCCCTTTGCCTTCATTTCCATTATTCTCATCAGGAACCTTTTGATTCTCTTCAACTTTCCCATTGGTAATCAAGCAAGAGCTTGTCAATAGCAACACGAACACGAACACGACCGCTATGACCTTCAAATTCCTTGACATATTCTCCTCGGGTTTGCCTTCGTTTTTCCTACAACAAATGAACAAGAAGAAACTTGTTAAAGCATGCAAGAAGATGAACTTGATAAAGATTCAGCTCTTCTTACCAAATTCTTGAGAAAGTTAGAAGGTTGAAGGCAAGAGAAGTATATAAAGAAAAAATAAAATGTAATAAGGTGGCTGTTCTTGACAAGATCAAGTGGGTTGCCCATAATTGGTAATAGAGGAAAGGCTATTGCATTGCTAAGTGATATCAAATCAGATATGCACGTATTTGTTCTTCATTTGTGCTGATACTCAACAAATGTTCAAGTTGAAAAGTGTTGTGTCTATTTGTATAGTAATATTAGGGTAAATATGAAGGAGATCCAAATATTCAACCCATCCAAATATTCAACACATTAATTGATCAGTTTTCTATTTGTAATAATTAGAGAAAGATATAGGGATGGACTAATATAGAGTGATTAATTTTATCGTTCAAATTGTTTAATATGTTCTGAAAATCTTAGCTAAATGTGTGAGATCTCACATCGGTTGAAGAGAGGGACGAGTGGGACTTTGGGTCCCAAAGATGATGAATTGTGAAATCCCACATCAGTTGGAGAGGGGAACGAAGCATTTTTCACAAGAGTGTCGAGACCTCTCCCTAGCATACGCATTTTAAAATCGTGAAATTGACAGCGATATGTAATTGACCAAAACGGATAATATCTACTAACAGTGGGTTTTGACTGTTACAAACTGTTTAGGAAAAAAGTAATAAAACAAGTAGCATTTTAAGAAGTCATTTGATGGGAGGTCTCGTTTAAAATCAATGTGCTCGAAAAACTAATACATTACTGTTTTGAGAGATTCTATGAAATAATTTGTTAGCCAAAAGATAAATCATTAATATACGATGATATATACAAGAAAAAAATCGTGGTCGTCCATTAACTTCTTGAATAAAGTTTGGGTATAGCTCTCTCTAGGCGTAGCCCTAAAATGGATAGCTCATAATGTAAATTTGATTATAAATGTCATTAAAATGGTGAATATCTATAAAGCCAATTTGATTAGAAATTTGTTGTTGCTCCCACTAATTAAGCTGTGCCTTAAATAATCACTAATGTTTGCCATTGCATACTATCAACTACTATACTTATCAGTGATCATATGCTTATCAGTGATCATATTCCTTATGCAATCGTGTGTACCTTGTAATAAATGAAAACTCTTTAATTCTATCGACCTGTTTGAATCATATATTTGGTTGGGTGGTATCACTCATTAAAAATAGTTTTAAGGCTTCGATTCTTTTTGGCTAGATTAATAAAACTATCCTTCAACTTTGAATATTATCTAAAATATATTTCTTAAACTTTTAAAGTTTCAATAACACCATTAAACTTTTCAATCCGAATGAGAGTGATCCGGAGAATAAGATAAAATTTAAACCAAATGAAAGTTATTATCTATACCAACAAAGTGCACATTTTTTTTCTGTGACTCAATCATAAGAACTTTATGGTTAAGTGTACTATTTGGAGCAATTCGATGTCAAGTGAACTCCGACGAATTTTTCTAACATGCATGTGAGTAAGAAAAAAACATGTTGAAATGACTTATGTTGAGCGGTAGGAATAGTCTTGACTCTTAGAAGAATAGGAGTAAGTAACATAAACATGTCATAGGGAAAAACCGGGGTCATCTTACTCATAACGTAACACTCAAGGAAAAGTAAAGAAGAATTACTTGTGAACTAAAAGAACAGTCATCCCTCTTAATATAGTTCAACTAGTTAAAATATATATTCTCGACTAAGAGATCACATATTTGAATTTTTACTCTCGCCCAGTGAAATTTTTTTAAAAAAAAACTATTAAAAAAAATAATAATAATAACCGTTATTTATATAAAAGTATTGACAGCATAATTCCACCAAAGGCGAAGTAATAATTTCTGTACAAAGTAAAGACAATATAATGGTATTGAGCCCACATGCATCGAGTATAAAGGCAAGTAAACATGGGACACTTATTTCCTTTACCATGATTTCTTTGGTCCCTTTGGTTCTCTGCAATTTCATTTAAACTATTGAAACTCATTTTCCCGTTGCGGCGGTACGTTCGTTCAAACTCTTGCCCACGATGTAGAATATGACTTTATTTTAAAGTTCAACATGCACGATGAAGATTCGAACTTCTAAACTCGTAATCAATGACACATATTTATCAATCAAGTTATGTTTAAGTTTGTGATAGTTAGATCAATATATTTACTGTAACTGCCCAAGCCACTGTTACTTGATATTATCCTCTTTAATCTGTCACGTATCGCCGTCAATCTCATGGTTTTTAAAGCGTGTCTGTTAGGGAGAGGTTTTCACACCCTTATATGGAATGTTTTGTTTCCCTCTCCAACCGATGTGGGATCTCACAATCCACCCCCTTAGAGTCCAACGTCCTCGTTGGCACACCGTCCAGTGTTTGGCTCTGACACCATTTGTAACAGTCCAAGCCACAAGCCACCGCTAATAGATATTGTCCGCTCTAGCCCGCGACATATCACCGTCAGCCTCACAGTTTTTAAAACACGTCTACTAGAGAGAGGTTTCCACACTCTCATAAAAAATGTTTCATTCCTCTCTCCAACCAATGTGGATCTCACACTTACTTACATTCATGTGGTATTAGGGGCATTTGATCATTGGAACCAAACTATTTTTAACCACAATCACTTGTAGTAGTGGAGTTTAACCATTTTGATCAGCAAAAAGGAAAAACAAAAGGCAGAAGAAATTTTGTAAATACCTCTAAATTACTTGCATGAATGAACGCTATCAGCATGTATTACAATTAAGTTCAAGTTAAAGTAAAATGTAATAAAATAAAGTGAAGGGGGGGAATATAATGATATTAGTGAAGCTCATCATGATTTGAAGAGGCAGAAAAGGGATCAAAAAGGCGTACCAATTTCACTTCTTGTTTCAGTTGGGCTGTACAGAGCAGATCTGTTTCTTGGTCTGTTCTCTTCCAGCTGCTTCACAACTTCATCCATGGAGGGTCTTACGGAAGCCACTGGAGCACAGCAGCCCATTGCAAGCTTCAATGCCTGAACGATTCCATCTTCCATGAGACTTCTAATCCCTTTCAACACCTCCACATCAAAAACCTCCATTGTTGTCTCCTCCAAAACAGCCACTTTCACCATTGATGGCAGATCCACAAACTCTCCATTTCTTCCACTTTTTCCTGGCTTCTTCCCAATCAGAATTTCCAATAGCAAGATTCCAAATGCATACACATCTGTTCTGGAATTGCATTTCTTCATCCTTTGCAGCTCTGGTGCCTTGTACCCGTCTGATTTTGCAAGCGACACAATTTCGTCAGCTACCGATGGGATCATTAGCTTGTCGAGCCCGAACTCCATCAGTCTCGCTGCAAAGAAGTCATCCACAAGCACGTTTTTTGATCTAACATTTCCATGTGTAATGGGCACTTCAAGACCTGTGTGAAGATGAGCTAGACCTCGAGCGATGCCTAATGCAATCTTGTGCCTCCTAGCCCAGTTCAACACTGGTTTTCCTGCTCTAGACTCTGCAATCAATCATAAAGCAAACGTTCAATGTTAAACAACCTCGATTCATTTGTCATTTTAATGTTTCAGACCAATCGTTATCTTGTCTAACAACTTAACACATCTGCAAGGCTTGTATCAGGACCTGAAAATCATCTAGAAGTCTTGGAAGAGTATCAATCTTCAAATTTACTAAAACTTCGGTTCAGAATTTAGCTAAACCTTCTAATATCAGATCTTCATTGAAATGGCCACTTGCAACAATATGCAGCAGTAAAATGTTTTCATTAATGAATATTGGTTCGTCATTAGAAGTATTATGATTTAAATATACAACTTCAAACAGATAGCCGCTTAGATTATTAGGCCAACTCAAGATAGTCATTGCAAATTGCTGATATAAAAATCAAACAAAAGAAACTATTCTGTAACATTCAGACATAAAATGAAACGTAAGAGAAAGTGCATACCATGTAGAAAATCATGCAAAGTTCTGATAGGGAGATAGTCATAAATGAGGAGCTTCTCTCCTCTCCTCCCCTGATAGAAAGCTCTCAATGGAATCAAGTTCTCATGACGAATCTTTCCCAATTGTTTAATCGCAGACAAACAAGAATTTCTGTCTTTGCAACTACCTTCCCTCAGCAGTCTAAGAGCAATGGTACCTCCATCAGCAAGCTTTGCCTTATATATAGTGCCATAGCTTGTTTTCTCCATAACCTGCCCTGTAGCATTCAAGACATCATCCAATGTCAAATGCTCTCCACCCTGAAACAAAATGAGCTTTCCATCACTGCCGCCATTCTCTTGATCTTCTCCTTCCTCAATGTCATCTTCACTCTCACTCCTATTCTTCTTCTTGTTTTGCATATAACCAATAAGCAACGAAGCTAAAACCACCGTCCCAGTCATCAAGCCAATAACAAGGCCAGCAATGGCACCTGAACTCAAATGGGAAGGTCCTGCACAACTTTTCAAAGGCTCCCCACAAAGCCCAGGACTGTTCCCTTCAAAAGCCTCAACGCCAAACTTTGAGTTATCAAAAACAGGCAATATTCCACTGAAATTGTTTTTTGAAAGGTTCAACTTCTCCAGCTCTAATTGGCTTAAGCTCTGTGGGATTTTTCCAGACAATAAATTCTTTCCAAGATCAAGCTCTTTCAGACCCTGAAACCTAGTAATGAATTCTGGGAAAGTACCTGAAATCTGGTTGTTGCCCAAATCCAAAGTCTTCAAATTCTTGCAGGTGGAATTTGGTAAAGCCGGCTCCGACAGAGACCCAAATAATGAATTTCCATGAAGCCTGACAGAAACAAGTTTATCACACAGATTCCATATCGACGGTGGAAGAGCTCCGGTCAACAGATTGCTACTCAAATCAATGTCAGAAAGAGAGGAGCTGTAACCGAGTTCAAGTGGAATGGTTCCAGTCAAAGAGTTTATGCTTAGATAGAGGCTTTGGAGCATAGTAAACTCACCAAGCTCCTTGGGCAATAAACCAGTAAGATTAGCAGATGGAAGTTGCAGAGAGAGAACATGAAGGGAAGGGTCTTTGAAAAGAGTGAGATTAGACCACTGTGGAGAAGAAGAATCACTGCAGACCAGAAGAGTTCCACTAGAGAAGACCCATTTGAGTCCCCTCCATTGACAAAGAGGCAAAGAGTAATTCCATGAAGATAAAAGTAAGTTTTGAGTGTCGCCTTCAAGTGAAGCTCTGATCTTTCCCAAAAGAAGTAGAACATCAGAAGAAACAGAAGAGGAGGAAGAAGAAGAAGAAGGGAAATGTAAGGAATCACCACGTACAGGGGCTCTGATCAATAAGAAGAAGCAAATGCAGAGAGAAAAGAGCTTTAGAATCGCCATGTCTGTGGTGAAAGAGGAGAGAAATAGGAAACTTAGTAAAGTGTGGTTTTATAGAACCACCAAGAGAGCTTTTTTTTTTTTTTGCTGGAAAAGCTGACAGACTGCTGACTATGAGTGAACTGATAGTCCATTTACGCTTCCTCCCATATTCTCCACCGTCTGATTGTACAAGACAAATATCAGACAGATTAATAGCATCTTGGAAAGGCAGACCTGAAATGTATTATTTAAATTATTTGCTGTGTTTTTCTGTATTTTTCATCTGTTTTTTCTGCACGCTTGCCCTTGAAATTTGCATATTTTCAGTTCATTTTGTTGTATTTTTCTTTTTGGGTTTTATCAAATTTGGTGTGGAGAAAGAGGAAAGAAAGATTTCCCATGGAGCAGCTCACCAAGTTTCGTCCTTTTAAACGGATAGTTGCAGAGAAGCAGCCTTTCAGCACTCGAAACATGTCCCCATGATCTTTTAATTGGGAATGGCGATGAAGATCAACGGTAGGTGTGTGAGAGTGTAGAGTCAGGTTGATGGAGCTCACATGCAGAGTTGTGTTTCTTCTTTCGGCTGTGGGCCACCCTTGCATGCCCTATACAAAGCACGGTTGGAAATTGTTGGGTTAGGTTGAGGATTTTGAGGCAAAGCTTGGGTGTTGCAATTAAGCGATTTTATAACAATCTCCAATTACCAATTGAATGGTTACTTGCGAAGAACATTTAAAAACATTATTGTATGTTATGCTTCTAAAATTCATTTTTAGCTTTCAAGCTTTAACTTTCAAATAAAAAAAAGATATCTTATTATGATCTAACATATTATTACACATACATATTATCCTTCATAAAAGGTTAACCTTAATAAGAATTTCTCTATTAATCTAAATTTGACTAGAATCATACTTATATTAAGATTAATTGAGATGTGTATTATTCACCTGATACAAAAGCTCTCTACTGAAATTCGCATTGGAATTGCTCTGACAAACATCACACCCATCTATCAAAAAATCCTGCAGATGACAATCCATTGAAGGAGATAGAAACAATAAATTCAATCTTTGTTACATTATTAATTAGAAATTGCTTGGATCTTGTTAAATTCCCAACTAAATAGACTCGTCCAACTTATAGAATCTACGAGAGCTCCACAAGAGAATGACTATTATAGAGCATGCGTTTCAAGATCTCCAAAGTAAGAAAGAGAACAAATCCTAATCACTCATGAAACATGAATCATCCATTTAAACAATGTCAACATTTTATTTTGATTCTTGATCTTGTACCCTTTTCCATATTAGTGCTTATGCTCTCAAAATAGTTCTAGTTTGATTCTTTGACCCACAATAAAAAATAGTTTTTAGAATAGTAAACTGATGGATTAACTTTGAAACAGTAGATCATTAATCACCAATGATTTTTAAAAAACCACTATTCTTGCAACATTCAAACAAAAAAAAAAACATGTTCTCCTACAACTTTCCATATTCTAATTGTTACCCTATTCTAATTGTAAGATAAGATAACGTGATACAAGTTTATTACCTTTATGGCTTTTGTTGATGTGTTACCAAACACAATCTCTGCCTTTTTCCTATTTAAAATCACGCCAATGTTTAGCAATCAATAACTATTTTCCTATAAACAAATAATTGTGTATCTTATTATGGGACGAAAGGAAAAGCACTATATATGATTTTTCAAAGCAATCTTATTTCCAATATTATCTTTTACCACTTAACAACTTAATAATGAAGTTTGGAAATATGGTGTACTTTTTAGACCGAAGATGATGAGGCAATACTAAGAGTTAGGGTTTCAATATCTAGCAGTAAAAAAATTGGGGTTGCAATATAAAGTTTGACCACAGAAAAAATCTAATGAGTTAAGAAGTTAGAGTTGCCTTATATCCCCGACTGAAAGTTAGAGGTTTTAATCCTCATTTTTGCCTATGGTTGAACTAAAAAAATTGACTAAATAAACTAATCTCTAGATCTTCTCTAGAGATTTGAGAAATGTAAAGTCAGAATAAAAATCAAAATCAAAAGTACACGAACTAAACTTGATAACTAAGAAAGACATATCTAACTATGAAGCTTGTAATAGTATTTGAATCAAAAGTAATTCAACCATGGACGACCAAACAATTACTCATCGCTATTCCAAAGTTGAATTATAAAAGAAAAACCTCCCCAACTAAATATAGGAGTTTTGGTAAAGAAATCACTTTGTAGAGTGTAAGTTTCCCTTTTTCTTAATGTGCAACAAAAATTAACCTAATGCTTGCTCGAAAGGCTAAAATATAACTTTGGTCCATCTTAAAATTTATACTTTTAATCAACTTTAAATTTAGTCTTTCAAAGTTAACTTTCTCAAAATTTATCAAATAATAATAATAGTAATAATTTTCATAAAAAAAAAACACCGTCTTAATATGTTTTCAATTAATTTCAAAATTTATATTAGAAAGACTTATAAATAATAAAAAGATTTTGAAAAAATCAAACAATAAACTAGTAGTATGAACTAAATTTAACAGTATTAAAAAGTAGACCTTTGAAATTACATGGACAAAAGTAGAACAAGTCCTAATGTACAAACAACAAAATGATGTTTTAACCAACTTGAAATATTAAAGTTATTTTTCATAATATAAGAATCAAAACAAAACAAGGGCCAAAATTTAAAAATTAAAATAAGGTTTAAATCTAAATCAAAATGATTGAAACAATAGGTCATAAAAAGGGTCTAAAGGACTACCCATTATAGGGGAGTTTAATAATCTATTCCCAACTTATCTAACTTTTAAGTCCAACAAATAATTTCAAATCAACTTTCATTTTTATTACTTTAATCTGAAAAGATCTTTTTTATTTTCCCCAAAATCATCCCTCGACATTGAAACTTAGTTAAAAGACGAGTAAATCTCATAAAAAAAAAAATACATATTCTTCAAAATAGTATAGAAAAACAAAAAAAAAGAAAGAAAAGAATAGGTCGTTGAAACAAGGGCTTTTGAATTCAAAGTGAGAGCTCATCATCACCTTTATCGTATAGCCAAACCATAATTTGACTGGCCCAGAAAAGTAATAACAAAAGGGGTTTTCATTATGGCAAAACTTTTCCATGTAAGAAGCATCCTAATGAGCAAAGAAGGAAGAATAATTCTTCGATTGTATCATATAGGCTATCCTGTTTTTGTGTCCCAGCTTAAAACTAAAACCAAACAAAAACTTTCTAGCCAATCAAAATCTAGTTTGAATCAGAAAGAAGACAAGACAATTATCAACATGTCTCAATTCAGGAACAAGTTTTCTAACCTGAATAATGATGCCAAAACTTCATGCTTGTTGCTTTCACTTTGCTAAAAAGTTTTTCCCACAGCTTTTGTGCTTCCCTTCATTTCAGAAATCAGCAACACAATTTTCCTTTTGATAGATTTTGTTCAGCATGATGGAAGCATCCCCATTACCTATTTGATGAGATTGAAATTGATGCAGAATTATCAGTACTCAAAGAAAAGTGTCGAGGAATAGCATGTACAGTAAGTAATTCAGCTATGATAAACAACATGAAGCAAAAAACAAGAATTTTTCAATGAGGTTGACTTTTGAAAGTAATATTGTTCAAGTAAATATCTGCCAATCTAGGTTCGAAGTGAACTTCGGGATGAGGGCTGATTCAGTCCTCATTGAGCAAAAATTCCCTAGATCTATAGATAGCCAGTAGCCTCAGAGAAAAATAAAGTTTCAGCCGCTCAATCTCTTGCAGAGATAGTGAAGTATCATGTAAGCACGAGAGACACTTTGATGATTCGTTGGGGTGAGCCATTGGTATAATTCTGGCTCACGCCCAGGTTATAAAATAACGTAAGTAACCAGTGATGCAATTCGGTGAATAAATAAATCATTCCATGAGACAGATGACAGAGAAGAATGGACCGACTTTTCCTTATGATCTTCACAATGACTACTCAGACCTTCTACAGTTCTGTGCAAAAGACGATGGTCATTTGCCTCTGAGAAGTTACCAATATTCCATACATGAACATGAGCCATGGTCAAAATGATGGAATCGTTTTCTGTCCCGCACGATGATTCGACGCTTGTAAATCAAGGAGATAAGCTTTAATGAAGCATGACAATCTTCACATATACGTAGGTTCTTAACAATCTTAAGTGGATATTGTGGGGCTGTACTGATTAATCCAAAGGCAACTGCAATCTTCTCACTGTGATACTGCAAGGCCCTTGCCTTGTGTTCTTCATCCGCATTGAGAAACACTTCTAAGGTGTTTGGTCTGTAGCCATTCAACCTTAACTTCATGGACATTTCTTCCAACATGGCCTGGATTTCTTTGGCTCTAGGATGGGAATCGTCTTCTACAAGAAACTCGTGAATTATTCCCTGGATCTCAACCCAACTACACCCAGGGTCTTTTCTAATGTCCATCCCTTTCATCTTCATTCTCACCCCTGCAACCGCCTCCCAATTTCCCAATGAAGCGTACATATTTGACAGAGCAACATAGGATCCACTGTCATGAGGAGCCAACTCCATTAAAATCTCAGACACACGCTCACCCATTTCTATGTTCTTGTGCATCTTACAAGCACCAAGCAAAGCTTTCCATATTACATCATCTGGTGCCATTGGCATGTTTTTGATAAGTTCCTCAGCCTCTTCCAAACGTCCAGCACGGCCTAGTAAATCGACCATGCATCCATAGTGTTCAATTCTTGGTTGTAACCCAACCACCTTAACCATGTGGCTGAAGAATGATCTACCCTCTTCCACAAGCCCTGCATGGCTGCAGGCACTCAAAATTCCAATATAAGCAACATCATTGGGTGTCACACCAGCTTTTTCCATCAAATGGAAGTAATCGATTGCATCCTCTGCGCGACCATGCATCGCAAATGCACTGATTATGGCATTCCAAGTAATGGCATTTCTCTTAGGCAGACTCTCAAAGACCTGAAGTGCCTTCTCAATGCTCCCACATTTGGAATACATGTCCACCAGAGCAGAACCA